GAATAAATATCCAGAAAAATCATGTATGAAATATAAAGAAGATCTGCTTCAGGTGCTTTTCAAGCTTATGATAAAAAAGAAATATTTTTAATTTTGCAAACTTCTGGAACACAAACTCTGACAGATAACTTCCATGTGTGAATTTTTCATATTTGTTCAATAAGCAAAACCACACCAAAAGCCTACAGAGGAGGCAGATAACTGATCTCCAGTGTAGGGAAAAGAAGTCAGAAAGAAGCTGCCTTTCCTTAGTGCAGAGAAAGCTGCTTATGACCATCAGGACTGCACTGACAAGGCAAGTGTCAGTAAGAACACAGGCTCCAGGGCCCATTGCTGACTATTTCTTAACAAGCAGAAATAAAAGTAAAGCAAATCAAACATGCAATGTTCAGAGAGAAAACCTGCTCACAACAGTTATGAAATGCATAATGCCCAACACCTACAATAACAGCCTGCAGTAACAGCAGAAAAAATCAGCTGACACATTTAAAAATAAATACATTTCCAAGAATCAGAATTTAAAAGGGAGTAAAGAAAAATAGCTTTGCAGATGATTTATCTGCATTGGTCCTGCAGAGATGTTAAAACAAATCCAGCTGAAACTAGGTAAGTTTCTCAAGCCTCATTTCTAGTGCTGAAAATTATAATGATACCATTTCAGGAATACAACTACAGAAGTACCAATACCTCTGCTGAATTTAGAATGAAGCCAGGAAGCATCTGGACTGTATGGACTGTCTTCACTTTCTGATAAGGTCTGCAAAAACAAGGACACGTGTCATTGGGATGTTGGTAGTTCATATTATCAGTACTCCTCCCATTTGCAACTGGACTTAGAAACTGTAGCAGAAGTCCTCATAAAACATTCAGACAGTACTTTGGACTTTTCCCTTCCTAGTTAGAAGGCACAACATAGATCATACAGTAAGAACTCACTTGCCACATGATCTGTTGTGTAACCAAGTATTCTTAATATTCCCCTAGCATTCCACCTGTACAATGGGAACATTAGCTAACCATTCATCCTTGAACTCTTTGCTAAAATTACGGCCTCATTTTGAGTAACTAGGAGGACAGCATTCTTTAGAAACCACAGTGTAATTTGGGATCTGTCCAAGGCCTGCTGAATTCACAGTTCTTTGACTTTAGTTACACTCTAGACCATCCCCCCTTAGCCTCATTTATGCTAACTCTGGTAAAGAATTCCAAAATCTAGGAGCTTTGGAGTCTTAACTCTGGAATTAAAAAACAAAAAAGCAGGCTTCTTATATAAAAGTACCTTTTCTCGGTGGCCGTAGTACTCTGCATACCAAACCATACCATATAAACATAGGAAAGTTGTAAAGGCCTAAACAAGAGAGAAGGAGAAAAAAAACAAGAAGAAAAACAATCTGTGAAACTTTTTCCAAATTCCTTGCTGATTCAAGGTCTCAGAGTCCCTGGAGATGCCGCATTTAGACTTTCACGCTCTGTTTCTCCCTGCATCTTTTGTCAGGATGAGTAAGACTTCTGCGTCAACTTCAAGCTACACACAGAGCCTGCCACCATGGGGTATGCAGAACAATTCTCAATGGGAGCAGGAAAATACATCCAGATCACACACAGGAAACACTGCCAGCAGGATTTCTGTCCACACTCTGTACAGTCATCACACAAAGGCAGTTGGTAGGCACTTGTAGGTATATTATCAGGAACCACCAGTCTGCGAGAAAACCAAATTCTCCTCCTCTTTACCCCATGCTTCAGGCTAGGTTACATGCTAAATAAGAGAACAATAAATTCTGACTCCCCATCACCTGTTCAAACTATGTTCCCAATTAGAAGAGAGAAGTATTTATCTGTCAGCCCATTATAAATGCCTTATTTTTCACTGACCATGAAAAATGTGCTTAGCATCAGAGTTACAAGTCTGGCAAGACAAACGTCCATTTACTGTTATAAAATGGGCATTTCATGCTGCATTTGCAGTAATCACACTGAAGTACAGAAAGTTACAGGCTTAGTGAGAATAATTTGCTTGATAAATGAGGGTTGTTTATGTAGTTGTAAGACTTCAATGTGGCACAACACACATTGCTTATTAACACTATCCATTAACTCCTGTTCATTTCCAGCAGGCACTACAGCAAGCTCCATCAAAGCTAGACTCAACTGAACTGACATCATCTCTCATAAAGATAAAGCATCCTATAACTACTGTTTGTTTCATTGTTAAGCACCAGTAATCTGCTATGTCGAGAAGCGAGAAAAGAAGATATTCTCGTCCCTTCAATGTGAGTTCTAAGCAATCTAGCATTAGTTTTTACTGGGACATGCATAATGCTCTTTACCAGCATTACCCCACAATGATTCTCTGCTTCCAATGTTCTAGAGAGGAAGCTATTTAGATGCTTTCAATGCTTTTGTCATGTTTTATGTTTCACATGAGAAATTTCACTTACCACACAGAGAAGCCAAAACACAACATACAGTATTTGTGTTTTGGAAAAAAGATCTTGTCCAAACTTTATGCACACAATTGCTTCAAGGAAGGCAATTACCCTGTGGGTAAATGAAAGCAGGGGGAAAAGTGATTAAAAACAGTAAGGATTTAACTCACATGTTCAATTCAGATCCCAGACTGTGAACTCTAAACAAGCACTACCCTCTAGTGAGCACACACCTCCGTGACAGCACCCTTCTTTGACAAATGTCATTTTCTTTCTATACTTTCCTTGGCATAAACAGCACACAAAAAGTGATTGACTGGCAGTTCATTGTTCCATGGGACTCAAGGGAACAAGAAGTGTGTGCCAATAGCAGAGAATCTTCAATTGTGCCTACCACTGTACTTCAGCTCTCACCACATATGAATTTCTTTCCCATGCTGAACACCCAACAGACTCCCTTGATGGATGAACTAGAACTGTGCTTTATTTCTCTACTAGATGTAAATTTACTACAACTCTAAATTGTCTAGTTTGTTTGTTTCACATGTATTTTCCGTATTTTCACAAAGGAGAAAATTAATATGAAACAACATTTCAAATTCTCTGAGAATCCATGCATTTGCTCTGATTTATCTGTACACTCAGATCCACACAACAGCCTCAGAGGACTTGGGGAGAAATGTGAGAAGAAAGCATGCAGGTTTTACTTTCCTCTCTGACATTAAAAGGATCAAAAAAATTATCTCCATCTCTCTCCCTGCTACCAGGTGTTTACATCTTTTCAGATTCAAAGCTATGAAGGCTTTTCCACCACTTGCTTATAAATCCAAATTTTCCATTTTCTGGCATGAAAATAAATCTAGTTTGTATAGGTCCTGAAGAGAAAATTACGTATGTTTAACAATACAAGTGTAGAAAAGTGACACTAAAAACCTGCATTAAAAGTGCAGGAAACTGACTCATCTCAATCTGAAGCAAATAATGAAAAACACTATTAAATTTTAAAGTGTAATAATTAGCTTTTTCAATAGAGACTTTAAAGTTGTACATCTGAGCAATGCATGAAAACTCCTTCTCACCTATGTGCAGACGCACTTAACACCACATCAAGTGCTCCATTCTCCCAAGCTTGACACTGCAGGACACATTCCTTACCAGCACTCTCAATAACCAGTTCACAAAAAATGGCACTAGTGCCTTTCAGGGAAGACCCAATTTCCCCCATGAAAGAGGAAGGAAAATGTGTGCTTGACTAAACCACTGGTATTGCAGAGATGGTCCTGGTACAAGTAATAAACCACAGCTTTCCCTGTACTATTTAATGTGACTTCCAGCATGATGAGTGGGGCCAAAACTTAAAACGTGCCAGTAACACCCAACTGACCAATACACAAATCAATGAGATGCATATTAGCAAAAAACTGAGAGCAGTATTATTCTCTTGAGTCACTAACTATTTTTTTTCTTGGTTTTATATTATTCTTACTGATCCAGCTGCAGAGTAAAAAATAATGAAACCAAACTACTGGAGTGAGAAGAGAAAGACCACCATCAGGAAACAAACATATTGTTTGTTATGATACACTCATTGTTTTATAAATAAAACAATAGGCTATTTTTATTAAGGACTCAAAAAATACAACTGTTTGCCCTGAACTTAATACATTCTTTCTGTTATTCCTGTCAAAAATACTTGGGTTAAGCACATTTTACAACAGGAAAGCTATTACAGTTGATGAAGTGGTAAATCAAGAGAAAGAAGGATGCTGACATTGAAGGTTGTTAGTGTCCTACTGAAAAAGCAATGAGAGTACTCCACAGAACTAAATATGATAAGTTTTCATTCAAGGAAAATGGTCTTGTAACATTCTAACACATTTTCCTTTTTGAAAGACTTAATGAAAATAATGCAATTTCAGCAGGGCTGTTGCATTGGCATTGTTCATGCTTAACTTACTGTACATCTATCAAGACTGATGCAATAGTTATGTCAAGTTGAAAAGAAACCGTTTCATACTAATGAAAGGCACTAATTTTAATTATACCCATAGTTAGGCTGCTTAAAATTCCATTTGTGCCTTTAGAAGTGTCTTGGTTAACACAGAGATGAATGTTCTATATACTTCTTTTAATTGCCTCAGAAATTATATTCTAGATAGTTACATTACTGGAAAATTTCCCCTTTTTCTGCAATCAACAGTAACTCCAGTGATGCTCTGTTATTTCCAGCAGATTACAGAAGTCAGCAGTAGGAAGGAGAATACCTATTCCATACACATTTCCCACTATTAGATCAGACTGTGGGTAAATGCTCTATTGCAGTAGACAATAGAAGCAATCCTGCAGACATATTTGGGTATCTTATTTGTTAACACACATTATATTAATGTGTTCAGTGAGAGCTTTGGAACAAGGATGATGAGTTCCGTAGTCCTTAACAATTTTCCATGAACCAACCATGCAAATTCTTCATTTAAAGGTATCCTCTAAGAGAAAAAGAGATTGTGAGGTCACCATGACTCAGAGTACACTCATAGAAACAGTGGATAACCATAGCTTGTTTCACTCTCCTCTACTGTTATGCTGCTAACCGCAGCAATGCCCACCTTGGCAGCCAGGGAAACACTACTCTCACATCAAGTAAAGGCAAGCTGTAGAGGTAAAAGCTTTTTCCTTCTCACCTGACTGAGAATATGGGCAGAAAGGCCAATGGTGCTTTGAAAGAGCCTAGCTTTATCCAGCAGTTCCTAGTTATTCCTTCTGTTGTCCTTACTCATTCCATCACTTCCCATGTTCTACCTCCAGATTCAGAATTTCCCTTTCCTCTGAACTTGCAAAACCAAAACAAGACAAGAACTGGCTTCATGGGAACTTCCTGTTCCTGTGCTGGACCCATCCTTAACACTTGTCCAAGTGCTTCAGGAATGCAGCAAGAACACTTACCCGAACACCCAGCACTGAGTTCCCACTCTCTTGCACTGTGTGTCTGTGAGGTAAGCATAGTATTGCCTGAGAAGGGAAGAAAGAAAATTCTTCAGTGAAGTTGCAAGTCCCAGAATATTTACATTCATAAAAAAATCTTTGTGTTACAGATATATCTATAGTGAAAATGAAGTGCTGATGGTTAAAATTCACAAGCAATCATTCTGGATGTCTACCAGATGGCTTCAATTCTAGTAGGACAGATTATCACATATATCAAATAGCTTGAAACAACACAGAAAACAATCCTGAGAGCAAGGACTGGGAAAGTACCCAAACTAGTAAGCTAGCAACATTTGTCTCCTGCCTCTCCACTGAGTTTCCAATTCTTACAGGCAAACTGCAACAGTTTCAAAAGAATTAGAGAATCCCTTATTTTTTTTCCACAGTTTGTCTTTCATATATTAACAACTACATTTTTTTGAGAAATGTGGGCTTGACTCTTGAAAGAATATGGCTATTTCCATATCCTGTTTGAATGGTCTAACCACTGGCATATTTTCCTCTCAAGAACAGTAGAATTTTTCACTTTTTTGAAAACAGTATGGAGACCATTCTGCTCTGCTCTCTATGCCCCAGAAATTTAAGTTTAGAGAGGGGAATTCCAAAGAAGTGGAATCACAAGTTCCGGTTCCCAGTTTCTGATTTCCACTGACAGATAGGGAAGAGACAAGTGTTATTACTCCAACAATACAAGGACTGCTAAAGAATAAAGACTTCTACAGGTGTAAAAGTGCTACAAAGGAAAAAAAAAAACCTTAAAAATTCACCTATACAAGAGCTCACAGGGTGTTTCAGGTGATTTAATTAATAGTATGAAATCACTGCACATAACTTAAGACAGTATTTGAGGAACAAACCAATTCATGGCTGCCATTTAACTGTCCAAGGTAACATGACTTTGGATATGAACAGGGAATTCCCTGCTTCTAACTTAAGATCTGTGTGCATTCTGTCTACCTCCAACTATGTAACCGGGAAAAAAAAAGAAAATTAAGGGACTTTGCTAACAAGGTAAAATCATACGCACGACCAAAAGCAGATTCATGTTCCTACACAGCTCTTAATGCTGCACATACACTGTTCTGTTCCCACAATAAGCTACTGCTCAACCACAATCAGGAGCTGTTAGAGAAAACAACAGCTCTGTTTTTCCTCATCTACGCTTTTGGGAGCACCTGACTCATTAACTTGAATACTTTCACACAAAGTCCTCAAGGATAACATATGCAGCTAACTCCCAAAACAGGGAGATGCTATAGGAACAGGAGAAGGAACAGACTGGCTCAGCATCCCTATGGCAACACAGTTGTTATGTACATTTTACGTCATTAGTTTATTTGTCAGGAAATACATTTTATTGACAAGAGATGATTGTTTTGCATTTCATGGTGGCAAAAGCATACATTTTGTGAAATGTGCCATACTTATTCACAAACTATATGTAGTTCTTGGGTGCCTAGAAGTTAAGCTACTTCAAACTGAAAAAAAAAACACCGAAGCAAAAAAATTACCTTACAGTGGGTGCTGTAATGATTCCTATGAAGAGAATTCTCCCCCAGCTTAAAGGGTGGCTTGCTTGGAACACAAAGATATGTTTCAAAAAGAATGTGTTCAACTCAGTTAGCTAGATCAAAAAAAAAGCTAGTTAATAGTGTTCAACTTATAAAACTCCTAATGAGTTAGTACAGAAAATGTGCAAAGATTAATATGGAAACTAAAACATAAGGAATTCCTGCTCTGTCTTTTGCTAGGACAAGCAAGCAATATACTAGTAAAACAAAAAAAAATTCTCCCCTAGAAACCTCTATCAAAGTATTTGCTCTCTTTTCCAAAACTCATTAAGGGACCAGACACTAATTCACCCTTGTAGAGGCCTTCTGATAGCTTGCATATCCTAAATCAAGTACAAATGACCAAGGCAATCTTGGGAGAGAAGCAGAAGAGATCATATATTAAAAAAAACCCCAAATCTCAAAAAACGATATCAAATATTTATGGTTTTCCTTTAAAACACTAAATTAAGAATTTTTTTTTAATTACAGAAGGTTTAGTTTTAAGTTTTTAAACATTTGTGACACATTACAGAGTCTTGCTGGATCAATGACAATATTCTGAGTATCTGATCCATTCAACAGTCAATAGGAAAGGCAAAAAATCCAAGCAAAGCAAAGCAAAACAAACAAATAAACACCTCCACACACAAACTACACAAACAATCCCCTGCCACATCAACATAACAAAACCAAAATAAATTAAAATTCCACCACTCAAACCCCACTGTCTAGCAGTTTTTAAATCTGTGCCAATTGCAAAAAGCCAATACAGCAATCTGTAACATTTGGCTTTTTTCCACAGCTTCTGCAATTACACTCCTGAACTACCACATAACTCCCATGGAAGTGCCCTTTCCAATTCTACATTATCAATTCATTTAACTGTGTACTTCAGTAACAGACATACATGCCATCAGAATATTTTTTAGTCCAACTTAGCCAACAAGTAACTGAGCTGATGGCAGCTTTGATTTCACAGAATTTATTTCTTACCTGCCAAATAATCATGAAAAGGTAGACTCCAGCCACTCTCTGAAATGAAGACTTCGGGTCAAACCAGCGGACATAAGTCCAGCTGGCTGGAGTGAACTGCAATACAGCTCTTTTGATTTTCCCTGTGGTTGTGTGAATGTCCCTGGAAAAAATAATGGCTGGAGTAAATACAAGGAATATGCCAGAAGGAAAAAACAAAAAAGCAACAGCCCTGTTACTGATGTTTCTGAGGAATTATCACTTTTTTTGACCAACAGCAGAGATCTTCTCAGACACAACTATGTACCAGGCAAGGGGGAATTCAGAAAAATAATCTATTAAGCATTTCAGTCAAGGTGCATATTCTCCTACAAAAGTCTTCTCTAACCTCAGTCAGTAACTCAGTAACTAACTACAAAACACATTTAGCATTCTCTTCATAAAGAAAGTAGGACAGCAATTCTGCAACTTCCTTGGAAAATCTAGAGGTTATTTCTTCCTAGTTTATGTTGCTACTGTTCTTAGCCCAAACATTCCTTTATAGTGATCACTGATATCAATCCTTCAAGAATCTGTCAGATTCATTACCCATTATTTGTATCAGGGACTAGCTCCACAGGTTTAATAATACTACACCTCCAGCACACATAAGCCCTGCTGTTCTGGTATATCAGATGCATGTGGACCTCTCGGAGAGGTGTGATAACACTGTTAAAAGCTGGAAAGCATTTAAATTCCATCTTGAAAGGGGATTTTAATGCAGGTTCATCTGACATGTTACTGATTCTTGCTTTTCATTATATTAATTCAGATGAGCAACAGCATCCAAAGGACACAGAATCTAAGAAATACTCAGTGCTTCCTCTTCTGAAAGAAGACTAGCAGGACTAGAAGTCAGTTTTTACCTTTGGCACTTCTGGATCAAAGAAAAAAAAAAATCAAAAAAACCTTGGATTTGGTATTCCCAATATTTGTGCTCTTCTAAGCTGGAAAAAGCTTAGATTAGAGAGAATCTTGTAAACTTTAAGATCTGTATTTATGAAATGAAAAAAAAAAACGAAACTAAAAGGGTACAAGCAAAAGCTTCTCATTCTCATGAAGCAGCATCTTCATGTTAAAGGTCAGAAAAATCCACTCATGCATTTAAAAGAACATCAGGAAAAATTATTCCACAAAGACAGTAAAGACTAGTTGTGCCATAGATAGCCTGCTATTTAAACTTCCAGTGAACTCTCTAAAAACAGAAGGATCACCAACTCTGATAGAAATGCAGGAAAACTGAATTCAGACTAAATGCTGGATGGTTCTTGGAGTAATTAACAAATCTGTGAATAAAAAAAGAAAGCAGTACAGAAATTCATACAAGGTACAAATTCGGAAGTAAAGATCTGAGTTCCTTTCCATCTCTCAAGGCAATTCACTGCACTTGACCCTGTTTCACCTACACCACTGGTAGTGTGCAGATAACCACGCTTGCTACCAGCCAGCAGGAAGAAGGCAGGAGAGGGGCAAAAAGCTATGAAAGAAACCACACCTGGACAGCTAGGAACTGGCATACTAGGCTATAAGCTGTTGCTCTTTTACACAACAAATGCCTCTTTATTTTACAATTACTCCATTTATTTTAGAAGGTCAGCAATGAGGTAAGGCAATTCACAGCACAGGTACCATCAGCCCCATGCCCCTACTGCAATTACAACTAGTGCTGACAGATTGCCACACTAATGTATCACCAAGGTGAGCCCAAATCTAGTTCAAAAATGTGTGATGAGAAAACAATCACAATTTGTTTTGCTCCTTGACTTCCTCAAAGTTTTATGTGTACCAAATAAACTGAAAATGCAAATAGCGTATTGTCCATTGGCATCAATATTTGTAACTTAAAACTGCAAAGGAAAATCATATATACAGTCACATTTACAAACATATGCTGTACAGGAATATTACTATGACATTGATATTTAACATTGAAAATAAAATTACAGCACTGTTAGCACAGGCAGATTCCATGCTATTTTTACACATGCAAAACAATGTTTATCAAGCTTTAATTTAGACCTACTTGAAGCTTGCCCAGTGATAGGTCCTCATCTCCAAGAAACGACAAACTACCATGCCCAACCAGATGCCACCCCCGTTACAAAGCAGGATGTCCAAAATTACTTGATCCCACCAGCATTCAGCAAAATTAGGCAGAAGGTGCATGAAGAAGAGCTATAGAACACAGCAAAAAGATACTGGGTGAGGAACAGCAGAGAATTTATAAAAATTCTTTTAAAGTACACATTAAAAAATCAGTACACAGCATACTTCAAGGGCATAAGCCACAACCACTGAAATTTAATGGACATCTTCCATTAACTTCAGAAGGCCTTGAACAGAGCCACACAAGGCATCAGAAGGTTCCTTCTCACCACTTCCTGTTGAGGCTATGCTGTATATAAGGATACCATGAAGCTGTTGGCCTCTTGAAGATGATACAAAATAAATTA